TTTTTTTTTTTAAAGGGAGAGAGAGAGAGAGAATATTTTAATATTTATTTTTTAGTTTTCGGCGGACACAACATCTTTTTTGTTTTGTATGTGGTGCTGAGGATCGAACCCGGGCCGCACGCATGCCAGGCGAGCGCGCTACCGCTTGAGCCACATCCCCAGCCCTGTTCCCAAATTTTCGTAGCCTTATCTTTTGCTTCCTGTGGCTGAGTGGCTGCCATCACTATGCACAAAGCTCAGGCCTCCGCCTTGTTCTCTCCAATGCCTCCCCAGCCCCCATACGTGCCTGCAAAGGCTGGACTTAGCCCAGCGTCTGGGATCCTGTGCTGACCACCAGAGTCTCTCAATGAGGTCTACCCTAGATGTCCCTATGGTGGCAGTTCTCCCATCAATTGGGAAAACTCCCTAACCTTGGATTACAGCTTTGACACAAGGGCTGGCCTCCTGCCACTCTTTCTGAGGTGTGGGTTCTTCTCTCTGCTGCGCTGCAGCCTCAGGGCCTGGGGGTCTCATCCCTTTGGAGTTAACCAAGAGTGTAACAGTTGGATCCTCAGACCTGCCCATGCAGCCCTACCGAACCCAACAAAAACCGAACAAACGGAGCTGTATTTGGAGCACTATTCAATCCAAGTAGCATTGAAACCAAAAATTCTTGTCATTATAGCCACCAAAAAGAAATACTTTCTGCATTCCCATTGCCACTAATTAGCTGATCTCCTGCCCGGGTGCTGCAGTGACTTCTCCCTGTATCTCCGTTCCCTCTCTCAGCCTTTCCACCCACCTCCCATGTGACCCTCTGGCTGGTCTTTCTAAAACACAGGATGACCCACATCATTCTCTGGTTTAGAAATGTCTTGGAGCCCCCTACTCCCCGGGAGTCCCTGCCCCTCACTTCTCCACCCACTCTCATTTGATCCGCTCCCATCCTCAGGGGCCACCTGTCCTCTGCCTCCTGTTTGGTATTAGGCCAGGCCCGTCCATCTCTGGAGGCTCAGTGCGAAGGCCGATCCTCTTCTCCTGGATCTCTCACCCCCTCAAGCAAATCTGGATTAGGTGGCTCCTGACTCCCACGCGCTTCAGGCTTCCCCAGGCGCAGCACTTGGGTTGTGTTTTGCTCTCTCCTGCGTGTCTTTCTCGTTATCTTAGTGTCCTCGGAGCCCAGAACAGTGCTGGGCCACCCTGCAGATTCCCCCCTGCAGCCCCCTCCTTGTGGTCATCTCTCAAGCACTGCCCACCCTGCACTGCCGCACATCTCAGACCTTGAAACTCAGGAAAAAAATAAATAAATAAATAACCTGTTGTTTGTAAGCTGGGAACTGACAATTTGGGTTGAAGCAAAGACATATCTAACTCAGATTACTTTTTATAGAAAATCATAATTCACCGGTTAAGATATAATAGTGTATTTTGAATAAAGAAATTGCCCAGAGAAAAGCGAATGAAATCCAAAATGCTGATACAAACAAAATAAATTACTTCCATATGCATATCCCAAAGTTTTCCGTTTTCGCAGCATGTGAAATAGCTACACTTCTCTGGTGCACTGCCTAGAACTTAAGTAGCATACCAGGCGTAGGAAGTGCGATTTTAGAATAATGGGTGTATGGGAGACAAGATAAAAGTGGACCCAACTGGAGCCACAGGACAGGATGTTCTGGAATTGCCTACGGCTGAGGATTTCTGTCTTCCACAGGGCAGTGCTGCTGCTCCGCCCAGAGGTTCCAGAGCCTGCTTTGTCATTACAGCTAATTAATTGTTGTTAGTAAAGTGGAAAATTACAAGTTCCAGTCACTGGTATGTGGAGTACGGGATGGGCAAACTTGCCTCTTGGAATGAATGTACTTTCATCACCTTTAATAAAACTAGTTCTTCAGGAGTACTTTTTCCCCCTCTATATTTCTAATTTGTTTTCCAAATATAGACCCAAACATAGCTACAGCTCTCCCACTCTCAGCCATTCGCTGAGGCATGAGCAAATGGAGAAAATGTAGATGAAGCCTCATTTGATGATTCATTTCTTAGTAATTCATTCTAAAGACTCCTTCACTTCCAGAATGGGTTCTCCCCAAACCTTAAAAAGTCCTTTTACTGACATGGAAAAGTATCTTTTTTTTTTTTTCTGAGCAGCCCGACAGGAGAATACAGTAGCTATCCCATTAAACGGGGGTACAGGAACCCTGTTCGCAAATCAATCTTGTTCCCTAACAGAATTCTCTCTCCTTCTCTAAGGACAAACAGACCTTGGGTTAACCTTCTGTCTCAGTATCCCTGGAAACCAAAAAAAAAGGGAGATTGCTATCTGTGTTGGTAGACAACAAAGTGCACAGTTAAGATGTTCCCTGATTGTTGAATTGTTTAATACCTGTAGGAAGCCATAGCTCTAGGCTGTCTTAGTGGTGATTTTAATAACTTAACATGACTCTTACAGGGACCTTGGAAGCTATGCTATGGAGCAGTTAGGAGAGACACTGACTCCTTGGGGCATCTGAGCCAAGACAGATGTGGATCTGGTCTCCTTACATCTCCTCTCACTCACTCAGCCAGAGGCCGGCTCCCAGTACTGTAGAAAATACTTCACTGAAGAGAAATGCTGGGCATAGGCTGGCTGATAAGCTGTGCTTCCTGCCCTGCGTCCTTCTAAGAGCCAAGTGTGGCCTGTGGTAGTGACCTTGTCAGTCTGTATGCTGAACTTGAAAATCCCCTCGCGAATGGGGCAAAAGTAGTCAGTGTAAGAAAATTGTTTCCTGAGAGGTGTTTTCTTCAAGGCAGAGGGTGGAGTGCCAAAGAAAAAGTGGATTTAATTTCCTTCTAATATAAGTACAAATAATATGATATTAAGAAAAAACACCTTATAGTTAGGCAAGTATAACTGCCGCCATATAAAAACGATAAACATGGTTAAGCTTTGGGTGAAAATATAGAAACATTCACATTGTTATTTTGTTAAATGAGGGATGGGATTCAGGGTGATATTTTCTTTTTTTAAATTATTTATTATTGTACTAGAATACGGTTTGTTCAATACATTATCAAAACAACTATAAGACCCCATGGCTGGAAACTTAACTAAATGTTCCCTTCTCCCTAACCAATCACACTCCCCTTAGCCTCCCTCTTCATGTAGCCATCAAAAATAATGAACAGCAGTAATCACAGAAGAAGGTGGTAGAGATTTAAAAACAAAATAAAAAGCGTAAGTGGTATCTGGGTATAGAGTGGAGGAGGCTTTTAATATGCTGGTTATGACAATTTTCTGGCCACCCTCCTTGTAGGGTAAGTCCCATGGAGACAATGTCATTAGCCTTGTAATACTTAGCATGGGGACTAGCGTATTCAGTTTTTTTTTTTAAATGGAACCTCCAAATACAATTCTTAAAAAAAGAGGAAGTTGCCAAACATGGTGGTGCACGCCTGTAATCCTAGTGATTTGGGAGACCGAGGCAGGAGGATTACGAGTCCAAAGACAGCCTCAGCAAGTTAGGGAGCCCTAAGCAACTTGGCGAGATCCTGTCCCAAAATGAAACAAAAAGGGCTGGGGATGTGGTTCAGTAGTTATGTGCCCCTGGGTTCAATCACTGGTACAAAGAAAAAAAGGGGTGGGGGTGATATACCATTTCTGTGATACATCCTTAGAAGTGTAGCATTTCAGTTTCCTGCCAGAGAAATGTTCTGTTCCTTTATTTTGAGAATATAGTCCCCTCATTTGACCTCCATATTATATCTATAACCCAACAAGTGAAAATCATGTTCTTCCACCAGTAGGATTAGACCAAGAAAGCCTGGCTTTAAACCTGCACAAGCCTGTCTGCAATCTTTAAACCCCTAGTGGCTTAAGTCCTGATTACCTCTGCGCTGACTTCCCTCCCAAGGTGACAGCAATACAGCAGAGCACAGGCAGCGAGTCCCAATTAAGAGTCCTCAAGTTTGATCTCAAAACACTGTCATGTTTTTGTAGAAGAACATACTCTGGGACTCGGCTCGAGAAACACAATAACAGCAGATACCTGGAAACTTGTTCACTTGACCGGATAATATGTCATTGTCATGAAATGAAACTCCATGCCAGTAGATGTCACAAGGCAAGCGTCGGCCAAATGGGAACTAGAAGACAGAAAAAAATATATGTGATTAATAGTAAGAATAAGAGGAGCGGTGACCACACTGGAGTGTCTGTCATGTACAAATTCCAGACAGCAGGGCACGCATCACATGACTAAATTCTTCTAAGGATGGCAGGGAGGCGATATGTTTTCCTGTTTTATGATGGAGAAACAGATTGCGACAGGTAGCAGGAGCAGCCGGGTTCTGCCTACAGGTGGCAGATGCTATATAAACTACCAGCCTTCTCAGCACCCTTCACTGGAATCCTCACAACTACCTTATAAAGGATTATTCCTTTTGAACTGAGTAAAACTTGGGGCTAAGAGAGGTAGTTTAACCATTTCACATGCCCTGGGTCACAGAGCTGGCAAGGGGAGAAATCAGGATTTGAGTCCAGGTCTGTGCAAGTTACAGGCCCAGACTTCCTTCCCTTTCTCTGAAATTTGCAACCCTCAACCCTGTCCCGAAGTATTAAGCAGTAAAGCTGGGCGTAGTGGCACATGCCTGTAATGCCAGCTATTCTGGAGGTCAAGGCAGAAGGATCCCAAGTTCAAGGCCAGCCTGGGAAATTTAGTGAGACCCTATCTCAAAAATAAATAAATAAAAAGAGAGCACCTCCAGGTTCAACCACACACACACACACACACACACACACACACAAAATCAAAGTCTGTCTATCTGTCTCTCTCTCTCTCTTAACACACACACACACACACACACACACACACACACAAACTCTACAAGCAGGATATATCCTTGGTGCCTAAAACAGTTCCTGGCACTCAATAAAGACTTTTGGAACTAATAAATGAACAAGCCAAGAGTGGACATCTGACTCAAGATGAGATAATCAGATTCTGTCTTCCAGGAATTTGGAAATCAGAGATTCCAGGCAGCCTCTGCTAGTCCTTAAAATGGGAGCGATAAAGAGCCAGAGCCGGACAGCTGTGTGTGGCTGTGCACCCAGAGAAGAGAAGAAAGGGCCAGTTTCCAAGAGAGAGAAGGAGAGATGAGAGCATGTTGCCTGAAGCATAGGGGTGACCTAAGTTCCTTGGCTTCCAGGTCCTAAGCCCAGACTCTCAGGAGCCTGGCTGCCCTCCGCCCTTGGGTCCTGTAAGATCGCCTGCACCCTGGAACATCTTTTGGTGTTCTAAATTCCTCTTTGGCATAAGCTATAGGATTTCAATTATTTGTGGCTAGAAAATCCCTCACCGACACAAAAGGGCTTGTTCTTTCCACTATGTTCTGTTGCTTCTTAAAGTTATGAACAAGTTTTATATTTACAGAATGTGTTATTTAAACACGTAACTCAGATGACTTGTTAGAGGGGAAAAGTGAGGACATGCTAGTTCATATTTAGGACTCACTTGTTGAAAGTCCAAATGAAGAGAAATGCCAACACGTTAAATGAAAATTTCCCCATTCTCAGACTAGCTGAGGAGGATTTTTAATCTTACTGAGGGGATGAGATCCAATGCAAACGTGTGGCATGACTAAGAAATGGCAGGGGGCCAGGATTGTGGCTCAGCGGTAGAGCGCTCCCCTAGCATGGGCAGGACCGGGGTTCAATTCTCAGCACCACATAAAAATAAAGGCATTGTGTTGTGTCCATCTACACCTAAAAAATAAATATAAAAAAAAAGAAATGGGGGGACTTGGTGCTTTCCAACCATCCCAAATTAAAACAGGAAAACAGTTACATTATTTCAAAGCTGTGCCAAAATGAGGCATATGTTACACACTCAATTAGCATTTTAACAACTGCCACCTGTAAATTATAGCATTTCACTCATGTTCTTTGCATCCATTGGGCTATAAGTTATTTATTCAGTAATCATAAATACAAAGAGATAGAACGTATGTTATTGTGCTAATATAGAGAAGGGAGCATAACTTTACCAGAGAAATGTCTCTAAAATGCAGGTTATCCAGGAAAAGTGTACCAAGATTTAAGTGGCTTTTCCACCCCCCAATGTGGGACCAACACCTGCTCCTTGCCAGTGGACGATCTGATGAGACTTTATCACCTTATCATCCCCCTCATCCTTACCACCTTCCTGAATACAGCTCTCCATTGGGAAGCACCCTTTGGCTCATTCCACTTGAGAAACTACCAATTTTTTAAATTTACCCATTCTTTCCATAATTATTATGTGCCAGACACTGTTCTAGGCCCTGGGAATAAAGAGGACCACAATTTTAAGTAGGTGCCGGGTATTCATCATCCTGCCTCTCTGTCAGCTCTGTTTAAAACTTTGCTTGCGTGGCTAATGTCATACTCGATGGTAAAAGACTAAAAGTTTATCCTCTAGGATCAGGAACAAGATCAGGATGCCTGCTCCCCTCACTTCTATTCGACATAGTACAAGTTCTAGCCAGAGCAACAGGAAAGAGGAAGAAATAAAAGATATCTGTTGGAAAGGAAGAAGTAAAATCCTCTGTAGATGGCCTGATTTTATTTTATTTTATTAATAAATATTTTTATTGATTTTATTTTTTAAATACATGACAGTGCAATGCATTACGATTCTTATTACACATATAGAGCACAACTTTTCATCTGTTTGTATATAAAGTATGTTCACACCAATTCATGACTTCATACATGTACTTCAGATAATGTCTATCACATTCCACCATCATTGCTAACCCCCTGTCCCCTCCCTTCCCCTCCCACCCCTCTGTCCCATCTAGAGTTCCTCTATTCCTCCCATGCTCCCCCTCCCTACCCCATTATGGGTCAGTCACCTTATATCAGAGAAAACATTTGGCATGTGGTTTTGGGGGGATTGGCTAACTTCACTTAGCATTATCTTCTCCAACACCAACCATTTACCTGCAAATGCCATGATTTTATTCTCTTTTATTGCTGAGTAATATTCCATTGTGTATATATGCCACATTTTTTTTTTATCCATTCATCTACTGAAAGCCATTTAGGTTGGTTCCACAGTTTAGCTATTGTGAATTGTGCTGCTATAAACATTGATGTGGCTGTGTCCCTGTAGTGTGCTGTTTTTAAGTCCTTTGGGTATAGACCTAGGAGAGGGACAGCTGGGTCAAATGGTGGTTCCATTCCCAGTTTTCCAAGGAATCTCCATACTGCTTTCCATATTGGCTGCACCAATTTGCAGTCCCACAAGCAATGTATGAGTGTGCCTTTTTCCCAACATCCTCTGATTTTATATGAGGGAAACTCTAAGGATTCCACAAAAAGACTATTAAAATAATAAATGAATTCAGCAAAGTTACAGGATACAAAAATCAACACGTAAAAATCAGCTGTGTTACTATATACTGACAATGAACAATACAAAAGTAAATTTTAAAAAACACTCTATCTACAATAACATCAAAAAGAATAAAATACTTAGGAATTATTCAAGGAAGTTAAAGACTTATATACTGAAAACTAAAAAATCTTCCTGAAATAAATTGAAGAAGACCCAAATAAATGGGAAGACTTTCTGTATTCACAGACTGGAGGACTTAATATTGTTAAGATGCCAATACTTTGCAAAGGGATCTACAAATTCAATATAATCTCTACCCAAATCCCCATGACTACTTCTTTTTTTTTTTCAGAAATAGAAAAAAACTTAAAATTCATGTGAAATTGTATGAGGGGATGAGAGCCAATCCCAAATTATGAGGGGATGAGATCCAATCACAAACTGTCAAAAACAATTGAGAAAGAACCAAGTTGGAAGTCTAATATTTCCTGACATCCAAACTTTAGAAAAAGCTATATTGTTGTAAAATAATGAGATACCACCTACACACCAATTAGACTGGCTAAAATCCAAAACACTAATACCACCAAATGCTGGTAAGGATGTGGAACAACAGGAACTCTCATTCATTGCCTGGTGGGAATGCAAACTGTCACCTTTTGAAAGACAGTTTGGCAGTTTCTTACAAACCAAACCGAACACTTTTACCATGATCAGCAGTTGTACTCCTTGGTATTTATTTGAGTGAGTTGAAAACATGTCTATACAAAAAACTGCACGTGAATATTTGTAGCAGCTGTATTCATAATTGCCAAAACTGAGAAGCAGTGGAGCTGTCCTGTTAATGGATAAAATACTGTCGCATACAGACAATGAAATATTGCTCAATGCCAAAGAGAAAGAAGTTGTCAAGTCACAAAAAGACATGGAGGAGTCATAAATGCATTTCTAAGTTAAAGAAGTCAATCTGAAAAGACTCCATCATACTGCATGGTTCCAACATAGGCCATTCTGGAAAATGTCACTATGGAGACAGTAAACAGATCAATGGATGCCAGAGACTGGAGGAAAGAGGGATGAACAGGCAGAGTACAGAGGATATTCAGAGAGGTGAAATGAATCTGTGAGATGCTGAAATGATGGACACATGTCATTATACATTTTTCAAAACACACAGACAATAAAGAGTGAACCCTAATGTAAAGTACGGACTTTGGGTGATCGTGACATGTCAATGTGGGTTCACATTGTGACAAATGCACTGCTCTGATGCAGGACTTTGATGTTGAAGGAGGTTGTGCAGAGCAGGGAAAGGGGCATATGGGAAATCTTTGCACTCCCTGCGAACTTTTACTGTGAACTTCAAAATGTACTGAAAAATAATATAATTAAAATGAAAACAAAACAGTGTGGTACTGGTGATAGACAGACATATAGACCAAGGGAATAGGAGAGCCCAGAAATTAACTTCTGCATATATGGTCAAATGATTTTTGCCAAGTATGACAAGAAAATTCAGTGGGGAAAGGGCTGTCCTTTCAATAACTGGTATGGGGGGGAAATGGATATTCACATGCAAAAACAACGAATTTGGATCCTTACCTTACACCATACACAAAAATTGAATCAAAATGGGTTACATACCAAAATATAAGAACTAAAAATACTAAAACCACTAGAAGAAAATATAGGGAGAAATCTTTATAATATTGGATTTGGCAACGATTCCTCAGATGTGATACCACAAGCACAGGCAACCAAAGGAAA